AAAAAAAAAAAAAATCTAAGGGCCCAAGGCCGAGTCTACTCAGCAGTCTGGTCCGGGATGGCCGAAGGCTGCACGGGGTTATCCGTCGGTTGGTCAACGCCTCCAGTCGACTTCTCAGCACCTTCAGTGACCTCGTCACCTTCGTCTCCCTCGTCCACCACCACAAATTCAAAACTGAACTTGGGAGGCAAAATGGTTTGACCCCTGCTGTCCTTCTCCCACTTCAGTGTTATCTCCGGGCGGAAGTCAGCAGTACAGCTCTCCCCATTTTCCTCCACCTCCCCTTCCTGCTCTTCGAAGGTAACCTTCGTCACATCGACATCAGGATACACCAGTTTTACCTTCTTCCGGCAGTCAGAGAAGGCCAAAATGGCAGTAGGAAGGCGATAGAGGTTGACGATATCCTCGAAGGTGCTGGACTTCAGGAACCCCTCCACATGCTCCTCAACTGAGTTGTGGACCTTAAGCTCCAACTCGGCCACCACCTTCCCCGCCTCCTCCACCTCCTTCTCCCTCTTCTCCAACTCGGCCTCACATATCTTCCTCTTCTGGTACGAGTTTTCCGAGTCCTTTTTGAGGGTAGCGTTCTCCTTCCGGAGCTCCTCCATCTCAGCCTTCAACTTCGCCACCTCGGCCTCGACAGCCTCGCTCTTCTTAACGAGCTCGGCGTTCTCCTTCCTCATCTGGTTCCTCTCTTTTAAACTCTCGTGATGCTCATTGGCCAAAGCATTCACAAGATTAACAGCCTGCATGATCAAACCGCCCCAACTCGTCAAACACTTAACAAAATCAGAATCCTTAACCTCCAACCGGGCAAAGAGATTATACCTCCAGTGTTTGGCGGACGACGCCAACCGAACCCCGGGCAGCCACCTCGTCCTTTGCGCGCTGGCGATCCACCTCCGGGAAGTAGGTGTTGATGAACCTCTTCGCTGTGCTCCTCATCCCAGAGTCATAAAAACTGGTCATCTGCGCTCGGATGTACCCGTGCTCCCGAAGCGTAGCAGCAAACTCAGCAGCTGAGGCTGACGAGGTCCCTTCCAGGCGAAGAGTTGAAGTCGCAGGCGAAGAGTTGAAGTCGCAGGCACTGGCACCTCCTCCAATTCCACCACGGCCCCTTGTTGCTCCAACCTCCTCCTCTTCGCCACAATGGGCCCCTCCTCAGCAACCGTCACTTCCCCTCCAGCGTGGCCAGGTTGAGTGATGGCTAAGTTATCCAATTCAGCTTGAGGCAGTGAAACCTCCTCCACCCGCCTCCTGGCCTCGCCTCTCTTCCCTCTTCCTTTCTTCGGGATCCCAGCTCCACCAGCTGCGTCCAGAAACTTGTTCATCTCTTCTGCAAAACAAAGCAAGGTTAAACCCTGATCAGAATTCTTAAAGTAAATCAACAATTAAAAGTCGCACACCTCCCAGTTGCGAGCTCGGCCTATATATCTCAGCCGCGTCTAACATCCTCTGGCTCGTGTACTCCATAATGTCCAGCAAACCCACACCCCCTCTTTCCAACTCCCCCACATCCTCTAACTCCCCCGAGGTCAGACTATACTCGTTGAGGCTTAACCCTTTCGTCTTCCAACGACTCAAGTGTTCCACCTCAGCATCAGTCTTATCCCACTCCG